GCGAGCGCTTGGGCCCTATAGCGAAAACCTCCCCAAAAAAAAAAAAAAAAAAAATTTGTGAGAGTGAAAATTAAAATAGAAATAAGGTTCACTGGCATTCACAAAGTCTTATGAATACAAGTATTGTCTTTTCTATACAACAGCTGAAACTCAGTTGCCATACGTTGGTCAATTAGCATCATTTCTTCTTTGGTATCAAGGATTAAACATGCCATCCTTCCTTTGTAACACCCTTCATTTACCCAACAAATACTATTTGAGTACATCTTAGCTGCCAAAAACTGGAAACCTGGAAATAAAAAATATATTGACACATGGTCCCTGTCCTTAAAGGGATTGTTAGATGAAGGACACAAAGGGTGACAATCCTTGTGGGAACAGATACAATGGAGACATATCATTGCATTCTACACTCAGAGCTCTCCTGCACAGCACTGGAACTTTTTCAGTGACACACACTTAACAGGTCCTCTGCCAGCTCTGGTCCAAACCTGCACTTCAGGAAACATCAAGGAATAGGGTAGGTAGCATTCTTAATGCATTTCAGCACTACACCCCATCCCTAGCACATGGCTCTTCTTACATAACTGAAATCATAATGTGTAAAAATATTTTAAAGAAGAGATGAAATGTTTGTTTTGAACTTTTTCAGCATATTGAAGTTTTAAACCCAACTATCAGGCTAAAGCAGACAAAATTTCCTCTCAATAGTAGATTTTCATGTGTCTACCTCTCTCTTCCTCTCGCCAGCTATGATTATTAACATAAATGTCTCCCAATTTGGAAAGTTCATTGAGGCATAATTTAGAACTAATTAGCTCGGGCAATAGTATACAGTTAATGTACAAGTTAGGAATTTAATGTCACTACATAAAACCAAGTCTTTGTGATTATCCAAGTACCAGCTGTGCACGGATCAGGAACACAAGAGGAACTTTGTTAATTTCCATTACCTAGAGGAAAATAATTAGTTGCATTGTAGGTAACTAAAACAAATGCAGCTATTTTAATTTTAATTTCAGTCACTGAGGTTGATAAAACTCACAATTGGTCTATCTATTTATGAATATCATGAACTCGTTATCACAGAATTAGCAGATTATATGTTAATCTTCATGTTCATAAATTAATTGGTATAATATTCATTGGATGATTGATATATTCTTTTAGGGGACATGAAATAATGACCAAATCATGAGGTAAAAGGAATGATTCAAATACCCTCAGAGAGGATAATGTAACCAAATTTTCATAAGACTTCAACACATTATAAAAATCTCATTTATCTCATTATCTTTTCCTTCAAACATGATAAATTGACTCATTCTCTTCCACACCTTGCAAATGTGGAAATCATTAAATACAGTACCAGGCCATTCAGATATCTCAAAGATGCTTTTAAAAAAAATGCCAAGGAGATCAAAGAATTGTTTTAAATTTTCTGGAGCTTTTCGGAAGCCTACAATGTGCAAGTAGACATAAATATTATACAACGAAAATATCTGAGGCGATCTGACCAGAGGCAGATAAACAGTCACACCTTTGCCCTAAGATCTAGAATGAAGGCATAGACCTGCAAATCTTGATTTTTACAAATCCATCTCACTTCATGTTTTCAGGTCATTAATTAAAGGCATTTTTGTACATCTCTAAACATCTTCCAACAGATTAGTTTTGCTACACAAGTCCAAATAAGAGCTTGAAAAAGTATTTGAGCCCGATGTATATCTATACAGCTTTAGTCACTTATATTCCCTGAGTCTTAGTTTCTTATTAGAAAAATAAGGATAAGGACAACTCTCTCATAGTACTGCCTGAGAAATGAAATGTAAAAAATGATCAGTATGCCATAGTATTATTTTTGTGAGAACTGTGTTTCCTCTAATTGTTCTAGATTGTCAACTGATGAACATGCTACCTGAACCACAAACTTCTTTTTATTGGTAAGTGTCTATGGAGAGAACTTACTGATGCAATCAAAGGAAACAAGTTAGTGACACAATACATTTAATGCTTTCATCATTGCTGTTGTGTTGTACATTAATTGCATATAAGTAATAAGCTATGGATATAAGCATCTATAGTTAGTATTACTTTTATAGTCAAATCTATTTTATTTAAATTTCCCTCTTCTTATTTTGTCCATTCTTCACATCTGTAATCAGCATTGGTGTTAATTTTTTCAGTGGCTTCCATATTCTCATTTACAAAACAATCACCCCCATTAAAAGACAGAACCCCTTGCCCTTGCTCTTACCCAAGGCTTGATACTTCAGGCCATGCTAACCTTTTCCTCTGAGGGATGTGGTTCTAGAGGCAATGAAACATCTAGACCATGAGGCCACATCTTTGTTCTCCTTGGAGGGCAATGGAAGATGAGTTGAGAATAAAGAAGAGGAAGCAAGTCAGTATTCATCAAAGTATTCCGAAGAATTTGGCACTACGATGCTTTACAGTTTTATACCTACATCTCACCACTCCCATAAGATAGCTATTGCTACTGCCTAACTTCTACAAGTGAAAAAGTTGCACTAAGTAAATGTCCAGTAAGTTTCCCAAGTACCCAACTAGAAAGGAGCAGAATGAGAATTCAAATTGATATATCCTCCAACAAAAACTCTCTACTGCTATCAGAGCAGAAGTCTTGAACTCCAAAGTATGCAGGTGTGTGGCCCAAGGTAAGCAGCACCCAAGGACATGGACTTCTGAATCCTGGAAAAAAGAATTTTGAAAGAAAGATGAGAAAGATCAGGATCAGCAGATGGCATAATGGTTACATCACTGAACAGCCACATGACCGACCATGGCCAGCCTAGCAGCTTAAAACTCATGCCAGGCACGTGTGTGTGCATGCCCAAAATCCCAAGAGGAGAATTGAGGAGAAGGGATTGCAGCATGATCATCTCACCTTGGGGATGATTTCTCATTTTCTGTCTCTGTCTCTCCAGCAAGCACACACACCCTATAGTGAAAATCTCTTTATAAAAAAAAAGATGCCGACGACAAAGATTAAGGATTAATGGGGAAAAGGGAGAAGGATTTGGTCAGTACATGATCATTTTTGCTATAAAAATTTCACCCTGGGAAAGGTAATGGATGAACTCAAAAATATATCACTTTACCCAGGGAAGTAGAACCACAAAGAGCAATATGAGAAGAAGAGATTGCTATAGGAATTAATGTCTATGCGATATTTTAAAGAGCAAGAGAAACAAAAGTCTGAAAGAAGGAGAAGACATAAGAGTCACTAACCAGTTACCAGGAAACACTGACTCATGTAGACAAAGGAAAGCTTTCAAGAGACCCAAACCACTAAGCCCAGGTCATCCTCTACAGTATGGCCATGCAAGGGAGAAGACTAGCAGGGAGAGAAACAGTTATTTGGGAGACAGAAAAAAATATCACTTTTAAGGTTAACACTAGCTAATATTAGGAATATAATAATGTATGTATTATAATAATGTATAGATATAATAATTTAGAGATACTTATAGATATATTCTAATATTGATTGATATTAGATATTGATAACAATAATTTATTAAAGTCTCGGTTTAATCCTAGCATTATCAGATAATTCAAAGCCTAGATTTTGAGGAACTCTTTGCCTCTTACATTATAAAATATCATTGTTTTTAACAAAAACACATTAAACGGATGATGTCATTTCAAAGTATAGTTTTTTAAATTTCAAACATGAAAATATTTTTTATAGAAAAAACTACTAAACCGGCCGGCAGGTGGCGTGGTGGATAAGGGCACTGGACTCCCATATGGCAGGCCACGGTTGGAGTCTTGGACTTGGTGGCTTGCTTTCTCACTTTCCCTCTCTCATTCTCTTCTCTGTGTGTCTTTCTGGTCAAATTAAAAAATAAATAAGTAAAATGAATGAATAAATAAAATTAAATAAAAAATTCTTAAAAAAAAAAAAAAACTACTAAATCTTTTTATAATAAAAAGATTGAGGACAGTCTGTAGCCTGGTATGGTTAAGGTAGCTGGATCCTACATGACTGACTGGTTTGAGTCCCAGATCCAGCAGCTTGAGAAACACCCCAGGGGGACCAGCAGTTAGCGTAATGGCTATGTCACTGGACTCCCACGTAGTCGACCACAGTTCAAGTCCCAGACCCGGTGGCTTAAACTCACGCCAGGTGCGTGTGCATGCGTGCCCAAAATCCCGAGAGGAGAATGGAGAAGAAGGGATTGCCTCATGGCCATCCCCACCTGGGGGGTGATTTCTCACTTTCTGTCTCTCTGTCTCTCTCTGTCTGGCGAGCGCACGCACCCTATAGCAAAAACCTCTCCAAAAAAAAAAAAGAAAAAAAAGAAACACCCCAGGTACTGTACATACATACCCAAAATCCAGAATGAGGGGAAGAAGGGATTGCAGTGTAATCATTCTCCAGAGGTGTATTCTACCTTTCTCTTTCTCTCTCACTCTTTGTCTCTCTGGCTAGCACAATGTGTCTGCCGGCAAAATTTTTAAAAGAATAAAATGTCTTACAAGCATTATAGAATTTTACTCACCTCTCACAGGTTTCCTTGTCAGTGTGAAAAAGCATGCTAAGCTGTCAATTGTGAAGATTCTTCTTGTATTCAGAGAACTGAAGGCCTGTGACTCCAACAGCCAAAAGGGTAAGATGTGCTTGGGATGTTTGCTTTCAAATATCTGAGGTAAGAGAATGATTCTGCTCCTGTTTTCTACAACCACAGAAAACAAATCTTATCAGAATTCCAATGGATGCTCTAGCCCATCTGAGATGACAACAATTTACTAAGGCTCCCTACTGGACCCACCAGATAAATAAACCTTAAAGGACACCAAAGAAAAGGGTCTCCAGCTTCCTTTTGAAACAGTAAAACTAACAGCTTTCCAGGCAAACCCTACTGAGCATCAAAATCTCTCTCTTCGAAGTGATACCTCAGGCAAAATGGAAGGATCACTGGATTGAGAATTTAGACATCTAGTGGTTCTTGTCCTGTCTCTGATACTAATTAGTCGCTTCGTCCCTCTGAGCCCTACTTTGTGATCATTAAAATGAGTGAACTAGACCATTTCTCTCTTTTTTTCTTTTTGTTATAGAAGTCTAAAACTGCCCAGAGTAATATGCTCAATAAATTCCAACCACTCTCAGAGCAAAACATAATGCACAAAGTCTTTGATCTGCCTAATACCAGTCTGTCTACTAATTGGAGCGCCTCAAGTCTCCATTTATATGGAATCCCATCTATGGGATTCTTTTTACTTACAGGAAGACACCAAGGTTTAAGAAACAGTTTTCTTAGGTTGGTAGTACTTTCTTGTAAGACATTTTACCAGGATTCCTAACAAGAATAAGCAATACCTTATTCTTTTGCAGATCCTCAGTAGTTATCCACATTGCTTGTGACATTCATTGTTCCTTTGAATGTCATTAATAACCTCATAAGGTGGACAATGCTGGTGACATTATATATATATATATATATGTATATGGAGAGGTTTTTAGCTATAGGGTGCATGCGCTCGCCAGACAGAGAGAGTCAGAGAGACAGAAAGCGAGAAATCACCCCTCAGGGGGGATGGCCATGCCGCAGTCCCTTCTCCATTCTCCTCTCAGGATCTTAGGCACACTTGCACATGCGACTGGCGTGAGTTTAAGCCACCAGGTCTGGGACTTGAACTGCAGTCGACTAAATGGGAGTCCAGTGACATAGTCATTTCACTAACTCCTGTTCCCATTATAGATATTTTCTAAAAGAGGATTCTAAGGCCAAGGAGGTTAAATGGGCTGGAAAGAGCCATCAGGATGTTTGTTAATAAAGAGACATTATGCTGCAAGACTTGTAGTTATATGTTCCTTTTGCTGTAATTTCCTGGGGAGATTTTTAGATTATAAGGTCTACCACAGAATATTCATTTTGAGTCACAAAAATTATATAGGGTGATTGGAAACAAGATTTTTAATAGAGAGGTGTTACTTTGCTGCTCATTCAAGCAAACAAGTGGCCAAAGTAAACCCATTGACCACGTGGTCAGCTTGTGTCCAAACAGAATTGTCTTCATATCTTGGCAAGAATTGCTAGTCTGCATGTTCTCCAAGTTTATGTAGCTCAATGTCCTGCACTACAAGTGGCAAATTTAATTGCCTTCAAAGACCCGCCAAGTACCTTAAATCAGTCAGAAAGACAAGGTGTAGAATAATAGGAAATGATGACTTTGCTGAAGAAGAATCAGCTCCAGCCCTTAATCAGCTCCAGCCTATTGCTACCATTTGTAAATACAGGCCCATTATTTCCAGATTTTCTCATTCTTCCAGAGAAACTGGATTCACCTATAAAATATCTTCATTTTTAAAGATCAGAAACAAATTCTATTTTATGTTATACTGGGTTAAAACAACAACAGGCACCTGAAGGTGGTACAACGGTAGAACTTAATGTTCTGTGAGACAGACCCACGTGGGATATTTGCTGGTGTGCATTCAGAGACATCCCTGAGTACACTAGAGCGCATGTACCCATGATCCAGGCTGGCTGAAGACAGGGTAGGTCACAAAGCTGGACCCTGTTGGGGATGCGGTATCTCTCTCTGTCTCAGTCATGGAATAAATTTTAAAATAAAACAAAACCAAAACCCGCTCTCCTGTCTAAGTCTATAGGACAGATGAGGCAGCAGATCACAAAATACAGTGTTATAGTCTACTCAGCGAGAAATAAGAGCACATCCAGACATAACCAAATTTGTTGGAGTTTATTGATTAAGCTGGCGATTATGAGGGGACTCATGCTTCTCAAAACCCTGCAGCCCCAAGTGCAAGGTGAGGGGTAAGGGGTGCTCATAAAGGCAAAAATCACACTCTTCTGGGTTGATGTGGCAATCACAAGAACCAAGGGTGGTGGGCTTGAAAGGGTAGGGGGTAGGATTTTACAATGTGAGAGCAACAGCAAATTACAGAAGCAAGACAAGTAGGTTAATCATTCCTAAGGGTATGTTCCAGCCCTACCTAAACACAACAGAATTTTTTTTAATACAATGGAATCTTAATGGTCTTCATGGCTCAGGGCAAGGGGTCTGGGCCTAAGAAACATCTTAGGGTAGAGACTTTAGGGTTATTTAGCAAAGACAGTAGGAGTGTTAATCACTCTGTTTACTCTAGGCAAAAGGAGAAAGCAAGTTTCCAATATAAGGAGTTCAAAATGGAGGCCTATTTCAACAGTTTTTGCTGAATATTAACATTAACACAGAACGCAGTTAACTAGGAACCAGCAGATGGCATAATGATTATATCACTGGACTCCACATAGTCAATCACAGTTTGAGTCCTGGACCCAGAGGCTTAAAACTCATGCTGGGCACATGTGCATGCATGTCCAAGATTCCTGAGAAGAGAATGGAGTAGAAGGGACTATGGTGTGGCCATCCCTGCTGGGGAGGTGATTTCTTGCTTTCTACTTTTGTTTCTCCAGTGAACATACATGCCTTAAAACAAAAATGACTCTTTAAAAGACAAAACAAAACAAAAAACACAGTTGATTTATGAGTCCATGAGTTCCAGAGCAAAGAAATTACAACAAAGTTCTAAGGGAATAGAGTCCAGTGAAAGGTAATGGCAAGAGCATAGTTACCATGGGTAGGATGAAGACCAATGTAAGTGAAGTGAGTGCCTAATTTTGATTCTTCCTGTTTAAGATCCAGCCTTGCAGCATTCTGTGTAGTTCTTGAGTAAACTGTGCACTCTGCCACGTCTAGGCCTTTCCACATACTGGTCACAATGTCTGAATAACTTCTGTACCTTCCCCTCACTTTTATCCATTATCTTGTCTTCATGCTCCAAGTCTCACTTGTTCTGGATACTGCGCAGCAACACTACACCCTAACCATGTACAGCGCGAAGCTCTGTGGCCCATCACTCACACAGTACTGTGTCTGTTTTCTTGTATTTCTTCCTGATGAGTCCAAAAACTACTTGAAAACAAAATCTCTACTTTATCAGCACTTCTAGTCTCAATTTTCAAAACATATAAATGGTGAACCATCTCTCTTCAATGAATATATGCTCAGTAACAATGTAATGAAGATCTTTTTCATACCCTTTCAGATTATCAATTTTAAAGGTAAAACTGTATTCTAAATATGGAAGTGATAGCATTCCAAATTTCAAATTATAGATCATCCTAAAGACAGCTTCATATCTATTTTTTAAATTATAATTAAAAGTAGGTCCTTTCCCATTCCCCCTGACTTGAAAGCACCTATTTAATGGCTGGATTGTTGGCAGCCATATTGTGTTCGTAAGAAAAGTCTAGAGAATTGCAGGCATGTCGGACCTGACATCATTGAGTCATTGAATCAGATCTACCATCTGATAATGTCTGGACTTTTCATTAGAAAATAATAAACTGTTTTATAAAATTCTAAGTTAAAATAGTTTAAAGGGGAATAGCATTTTAAAAGTATTATTCTAAAAGGAAAGGTCTGTTCTATAAAGGTGAATAAATAACATTATACTTTGTGTAAACCAATAAAGTACCTCAGAGGAAAAAATTGCACACACTAAATTATTATTATCTGCTGTCTCTCAAACAAATACACAGAATTACTCACTAAATTGAAAGGGTACATTATTCCATCAGAAAATGAACAGCCTTCAGGAATCATGAAATTTGTACATAAAGCAAATATTTAGTTACACAAGACCCAAAAAAATAAGGTAAAAATCTATATGACTTGGGACCAGCAGTTGGTGTAATGCCTATGTTGCTGGACTCCCACGTAGTCGACTGCGGTTTGAGTCCCGGACCTGGGTGGCTTAAACTCATGCCAGGCACGTGTGTGTGCATGACCAAGATCCTGAGAGGATAATGGAGGAGAAGGGATTGTGGCATAGCCGTCCATCCTGGGGGGTGATTTCTTGCTTTCTGTCTCTCTGTCTTTCTGGCAAGCGCATATGCTCTATAGCAAAGACCTCTCAAAAAAAAAAAATCTACACAACTCTGTATTTCTGGTGGAACATAATAAATGAAAACACCTCCACAGTTACTTTAGAGACATTGGCTATGGAATTTTTTTTTGGAGTTTTTAGAAAATGCACTTAAAGTGAATTTTGTGTAGTTCTTGAGTAAACATGCACTCTGCTACTTCTGGGGAAAAAAACAGGAAATTTTTAATTTGTCAACTGCTTCAGTTTATTAAGAATTAATTCTTAATAATTAATTTAATTTAAATTCAGTTAGGATTTTCAAATAAAGGACAACCTAAATGGAATTGGATTTTCTTTGTTCTGTTAAAAACTTTTGTACAACCTGTTAAACTATGGTTGAAATATTGAATCAAATACAACATTAGAAAGATAAAAATGAAAAAAAAAAAGTAACATGTTTTTCCAGGAGAATAGAGGGTGAATAAAGAGCATTATTCAAACTCTGAATAAAGGACGATGTTCCCAAGTCACCTGGTCTTGGGCTGCCTGGTCAGAGTCCTCATCTGAAGTGGAGGGACAAGTCAGGATAATTCCAGGTACCTTTGAGATGATCAGAGGTTGTTGACAAATGAGATGGAGGAATTTAAAAAGAAAGGAGGTGAAGAAGAAAAAGATAAGCCAAAAGCCAGAAATCCCCATAGAATATGAGTAATTAAATCAACTACTTACAGATAAGATGTGACTAAAGCACTAAACAACGGAGGCAATTGATTAAGCAGTAAAATGAAAAAAACAGAA